TATTATATATGTAAAATCGATAATAAATACAAAAATTATCAACTTTTAAAATACAATTATAATTCAATAGCTAATTGAAGGAAACAAATCAAAAGTCATATTAGTCACTTAGTGTCTCGCTATGTAAAATTACAAAGAAATAAAGGGTTATATTAGTACAATTGATATTAAAATACCTAAATTAGTTAAATAATATTTATGGAATGTCCAAACCTAAATTATTAATTAATAATATATGAATATTATTTTTCCAAACCTAATTACGAAGCATGATTCTTTGCCAAGTAAGATTCCGAAGCACCAGAAGCAGCCACGTAGACTCAACGTATTCGGGAATAATATATAGGTTACAAAGAAATAAAGGGTTATATTAGTACAATTGATATTAAAATACTAAATTAGTTAAATAATATTTATGGAATGCCCAAACCTAAATTATTAATTATTAATATATGAATATTATTTTTCCAAACCTAATTACGAAGCATGATTCTTTGCCAAGTAAGATTTCGAAGCACCAGAAGCAGCCACGTAGGCTCAACGTATTCGGTAATAATATATAGGGAGGATGTTACCAAAACTATAAATTTTATGGTCAAATAAATGATGATCATTAAAGACGATAAAAGCTAATTGATTTAGTATTGTATTGAATTTGATATTTATGTCGTTCTACTATATATTGATTGTGTATCAGTTCTCGTAAAATATAATATTTAATAGATTAATATATAATAAGGATTAACATAATTCACTTTCAGAAACATTTTCCCGCCAATTTCATTAATGATGCCTAAAAATAGTAAATTATTAAAATCTATACTTATATAAAAGGTCATCCTATTTACTAGAAATACTATGCAGAAAATTCATAGGTAATTAATGTTTACTGGAAATAGAATGACATTAATTACATATTTGTTTTGGTATTTATAGGCTTGACATTACAGATTTGTTATGAAATAAAAATTAGAACCGATTTTTTTACCTTTGCTGGAAAATCAAAGCTAAGTATAGATTTGATTTATCCCATAACATCGGTTTAATTAAAAAAAATCCAAAAAAATCAGTTTTAATGTCAAGCCTATAAATAAAGATTTAATCGGTTTTATTAAAGCAGATTTAATCGATTTTAATAATTGCATAGAATTTCAAAGATGTTTATTTATTATAAAAAATTAAATTCTAAAAAAATATCTGTGTATATTTTGTAAAATGTTTGTACAAAATGTTTTACTTTAAATTTATTTATATAATTTAAATTAATTACATTAATAAATAATATGAACAAATATTTTAATTACATAAAACAAAAAGAAGAAGAAGACTTCATCTATAACTTGTATAAATAATAATAATGACATTATATTACAATAAATTTTATAATAAAATAATATAAGTATTATACGAGGAACAAGATTATGTAAAATATTAATTTTTCTTATATCAAGGAATAAATATATATAATGAAATCAAATTTATATTATTATAGACATGTGAACGAGATAATATATTAATTAATTTGCTGGCTAACACTGTCAGACTCAGGTTCAATGTTCCGACAAAAAAAATGACCTTGATGAAAAGATGTAAAAAGATAGATGATCTACTCTATTATTTTTTAGGCCTGAACGGACAAGCTCTATGGTCCATTCATTTAATATCTCCCGTGAATTGTGCGAGCTACTTAACGGACAAGCTATGTGGAAATGACTCATTTAATACGTATATCCCGTGCATCGCACGGGCTACGTATTAGTATATATACATAATAGAAGAAAGTGAATATCTCAAGACTTTTCTCCCATCAATAACTTCAAATGAATATTTTCATAGTAATGTAACATTGATAGACTTGGCAAATTCATGGCATTCACTGTGCACTGATCAGTAATAAGTCCTTACTAAAAATACTAATATTATTATAGAATTAAGATTGACGAACAATAGGTCAGTAATAAGTCACTTGGGCTGCAAAATGTACAAATGTTATTTGAATTGAGTTGTCCTGTTACAAAGTTTTGTTTGACATGTGAAACCTGAGGCTCGACTAGCTTGTATATTTGCACGAGCTCAGATCAAACATCTAATTGAGTTTTTCTATCAAACAAGTCGATTCGGGAGTGTTAGGAATCAACTCGGTGAGAGTTTTGGGTTTCAGTCTACGTTATAAAGTTTATTAAATGAGTCGATGTCATGCGTCATTTTACATACATTTTTTAC